GTCTAAATACTACAAGTACAATTTAGGCAATTACTACTATACTACTACTTTAAAGAACTAAGAAAAGCAGCCTCTATTTTGGCTTGAAGAGCGGCCATTTTAAATTCACCCTGTGTTTTGATCTGTAGAAGTAGAATTAAGTTTCTTTGTTAGATAGTCTTTTGCTCCAAATGTCATGATTTCTGCATGAGATGTTACAAAGATAGAACCAGCACGATGAAAGCAGGCTCATATCTTGTATGCTCACCTGTCATCTCTGATGCGGTAGAAAAAGCCATAGCCATGGTGCACCATGGGAGCCACGGCCCCCAGAACTGTAGTGTAGCCCACCAGACTGGATGACAGCACAAAGTTACCACCACCACCACTGCAGACACAAACACAACTCAGTTACAGGCAGACAAAGAAAATCTGTTCAGAAATGTCTGTACTGAAGTTTATCAAACTGACTTAACAATCCCTTAAAACACTCAAATCTTTAACCGTGTCTCAATGTTGCAGTGAAACTGCTTTTACACAAGAGCCCGACCAATATGGGATCTTTGAAGTCGATACTGATATCCATATTTGTACAATTACATTTTTTTAAATCTGAATTAAGTAAAGTCAGGGTTATAAATAAAAATGAAAATGCTGCCTATAGAATGTTTTTGTGCTGTAATTTATTTTTGCATATCATCCAGCATGCATAAGCCAATATCAGTTAACAATACGGGCCTACTGACCTTGTTTTTACAGAGCTCTTTCTCCACAAGCATTTTGATGTGTCATAGTAGGACACGGTATAAGTATATACGGTATAAGTAATTCAATTCTTTTTATGTGAGCCAGTTTATGTTGGCTCACTGGAATAGCTTACTGGGACATCGGTATTAGACCTGTGCTCACTATTCAAATGTATGCTGTGAAAAAGTTCTAATGTAAATCTTAATGAAAATTAATTTGGGGGCAGGGCACAGTAAATCTGGAAATCAATGGAACATTAGTTGGGGACAGAAAAGCAGTTTTACAAAACGTAGCCTGTGATTGCATTACTGGATAACATTTTCATGTACAATTACAGTTACATATTTATATTACCAGTAGACCACAGACACACTGCTTCAACCAAACAAATTATCTTTACAGACAGTACCTCTTTGCATAGAGGGGATCCGTGAAGAGCTCTGGGATGGGACGTCCCTCCTCTCTGGCGATAAGATACAGCCCAAAAAGATGCCTGTCAAAACCTGGCAGCAATGTAAAAATAACATGAATTAATATCAGAGACATTAA